TCTCTATCTTGAAGGTAGTGTACACGTCCGGGAAAGTGAGTCAGAGCTTGGCTCGTATGGGCAATCTCACTGATTACGACGGATACGTGGAAAACACATGCTTAGACGCATTTTCCACAACGTGCAACACTCACACTGCATAAGAAAACATKGTCAGCATTATGTAGTGCACATGCCCCGACCATATGTCTAAAATGCTAACGAAGCACTGTCCGCTTCGCTCTATTTGTCTTTGGAATGCACTGCGTGCACAGGAAATGGACAGCGGTCCACGGGTGTGCGACTGCGGCGGACCTTTCATGTCCTTACGGACTTTAAACTCGTATCGTGCGAGGGCATGCCCCGCCGTGGCGGATGAGGGAGCGCAAAGGCAGGAGAATGATGCTGCCCACGACCCGGGACCATCCAACAAAGGCGCAGCCAATCTCGCTAGTGATGAGAGCGAGGACGCAGGGGCAGAGGACGACGCGAATGGGGCAGCCGGTGATAACGCAGAGCCGGCAGCTCAACCCGTCGAGCCTTTTGACAGCTCGCGCAGGCTAGCAGCGCTTATTTTCTCCGCCAGGGGCGGCGTCGGTATGTCACATACGGACGTTGATGCTCTCTTGTCACTTCTCAAAGACCCGAGATTCAGCGCGACGGACATTGCGTACCGCAACAGTCGAGAGTGCTTCGCATGGGCGGGCAGTCTAGCAGAGGCCGTTGGGTGGAAGGAGTTGGATCTGCGTAGTGACGACTGGCCTCGAGAAGCGCACGCCGTTTTGTGGCACCGCGATTGGCGAACTGCATTCTTATCGATAATGCACGTCACGTTGCAGAAATGCGAGACGGTTCATTCCCTTGAGGTGTCCCCGCCGTCGGAGGACAACAGTGTATCCGGTCCACGCAGTGCGGCGCTCAGTTATCACACGCAGTCAATCATTCGAGCGCACAAAGGTGTCGACGAGAATGGATATTCACGATATGTAATCCCTCTCTCACTGTACTCCGACAAGACACACACAGACGGTCGTCAGAAACAGACGGCATACCCTCTTATGATGTCGCTAGCCGACCACGCGTCGGAAGCCACTCTGCTGGCCTATCTTCCCGTGCTTCATCATCGACCCCGTGACAAAGGATGGGGTCTACAGTCCACCGCATTCAGGAAGCGAAAGACCGTCATCTTCCACAAGGCCCTTTCGACGGTCTTGCAAGCTGCGAAGGAGGCATCGCATGACGGCATCACGATACCGTCGACGCGATTCGGGGACGTGACTGTCCACCCTTTCTTCCTCAACTATATACAGGACTACCCAGAGCGATGTGCGCTGGCGAATGTAAAGTTTGGTGTATGCCCTACATGCACCGTGTCGAAAACGGACCTCGATGTCGTGGCCGATTTCACGGACAGCAGGAGATCCCAGACGCTGGAAACTCAACTCGCAGCAGCTGTGTTCACGGCGGACGACGATGACGTGCGCCGTGCGGCGGAAGGGCGAATGGCGGAGTTGGACATGCATAGGCATGTTGAACAGAACGGCCTTTGGGGGTTCTACAGGGGGCCGAGTGGCGATGATCCTGAGCTAGACTACCACCTCGCATTGCAACCAGACCGTATGCACACGATCGAACACGGCATATTCCTGCACATGATCGACGCATTCAGGGCGGCAGCCTTTGAGAAGTTGCCGAACACACCGCAGACAGAGATCCTGAAGGAACTCGATGCGAGATTGCAATGCGTTAGTGAGAGATGTACGCGAACATATCCCCAACTTGTGTTTCCCGTGGCCACAGGCAGCGATTTTTTTTCTCGAGAGGGACGCTTCGAGGCGAAGCAAAACCGGTATGTGATGACAGTGTGCGTGTTCCTCATTTTTAATATAATCCCGCGCTCGACAGGCAAGGGAATTACCGCTTGTTTTGTTAAGCTGATGCAAATGTACGTACCGTTGTTTCGGCGCACAACACACACTCGAGCTTCCCTCGACGAATGTGACGCGTTGATGACGGACTTCGTAACGACCATCAAAGCGAAATTGGAAAGATACCAACCATCAAATTGGAAACTCCCGAAGTTGCATGATCTTATGCATATGAGAACGAGTATTGAGCGATCTGGTGTGGCCGACACATTCGCTGCAGACGTTTGGGAGCATCACCACAGGAGATTCTGCAAACAACCGTACATGTCATCGAACAAAAAGAAAGCGTCAACCCAGATGGTCAACCACGTGCGCCGGTCGCTGGCGTTGCAGGAGGAGACCGGATTTGTAAGGAAAAGGAGGAAGAGGGCCGTCGAGAATAGGTCTTCTGTGACCGACTGTATGGCAACGGGGATGAACACCCTGGCACTACGCGATACGTCAATCCTTCAACTGCGCTGGTTCGACATCGATCAGGACCAGATATGCGAGGTGGAAGGCATTGACAGTCATGCGTGTAAGATACTTGAAGAGCTCCCTTTCAGAACCGATTTTCGAGCAGCGATTACGACGTACATGGCAGAGAATGGTTGTCAACCTCCTCCTGATGATCTCGCTATACACACACGAACACATATCGCCATCGCTTGCATGCAGGACGGAACAAACAGGGGCACACTTGTTCAAACTGCACGAGCGTCGCCGCGGTTCTACGGGAGACCAGTGCACAGCGACGTCGCAATAAGAGCAGCCAACGAATGTACGTGGTTCGCATCAGTGGCCATGTTTTTCGTCGTCGATGCACCCACAGACGGCGGTAATGTGGAACACAAGTGCGCTTTTGTGCAGTGGTACACAAAGGTTGACAGTGAACGCAAACACGTGACATGTTGCAAGGAATTGAAATGGGAGAAGGCGAATGGACATCAGCACAGCAGCGTCGTTTCAACCGACACTATCGTGGACACCGTTCACATTGTTCCGCGCTTCTGTAAACCACAACGGGGATCGAAAATGCATGCGCGCCACCGTGAGGACTGTTTTTTTTTAAACAAGTACATATTGTAGAAGGAATAAATTTGAAGTTTGAGAGAGAGAGAGAGAGAGAGAGAGAGAGAGAGAGAGAGAGAGAGAGAGAGACTCATTTCAATTACGAGAAAATTTGTAAGTCTGTCTATTTCTTCTCTCGGCAAGATGGTAATGCCGTTCTCGGCCGAAGTAAATCTTTCTAGTAGCTGTAAACAACTATGATGTCTAACGCTGACATACCTACGAAGGAGAACCAAAACCTCATGCGAAACGAAAGTGTCCCCAAAAGTTGACTACTGCGTGACATTCACGTCGTCAACAGTGACATTTGATTCAGTTTTGGCACGCAGTAGCCAACCTCTCTCTCTCTCTCTCTCTCTCTCTCTCTCTCTCTCTCTCTCTCTGGCACAAACTCTCTCGTCCCCACCTATCTGCAAAGGAAAAACAAACAAATAAAAAAAAACAAATTATAGGATCTCGACAAAAATCATTCGTCGTTGCTAAAAAACAGAACTAATCCTCCGTGTCTTCTACCTCTCCCTACGTGTGTGATTATGAACACAAAGTTGCGACGCCTCAAAGTGGGGAGGGGGCGAAGGGGGAGAAGCGACACGGAACACAGAGTAACAGGGTGCAGGTAAGAGGAGGGGATCAACGATGGCAGAGTCGCACAACAGTAGTAATTGGTCGGCCGTTGCGAATGGGCCATACCAGCGCACCGAAACGGGTAATGGTGCCAGGGAGGGAAAACCGTTGTTGCCATCGAGCAGCCAGAGGTCAGCACAGAGCTGGCGGGACATGTTATCAGACCCATGGTGCGCGAAAATGTACGATTTACTGACTGAGGGTGCAACAGAGTGGCCCCAGTCCTGCGGGGAACAATCTTCCTGTTGTATGAAAAAACGGAAAGCAGGGGACAAGACAAGAGCGATAGATGAGCCGACCGACATCACTGACGTGGTCGAATTGTTCCCTTTTACATGGAAATCTCCGCAACACGCCATACCCGTATCAAAATCCGACATTGAACGGTTGTCGGACGACGGATGGCTGAACGACAATATTATTGACATTTATTTGCAGTCTGTGTATGAAGAGGTTGGGCGGGGCCAGGACAGGTTTTATGTTCACGTCTGCACAACTTTCTGGCACCCCGAGGTCGTCGCCAATCAAAAATTTGGAAAATTGAGGAAAAAAAGATGGGAGGACGCAATTAAGAAGAGACTACAAAAATTGCATCGACTGTGCAACGAACTGCGACGCGCGCCAGTCACTGTGATACCAGTGAACCGTAACAAACACTGGATTCTTCTTCTGTTGCTGAATGCGAGGTCCTTCTTGGAGGTCACTGCGGAGAGCCGCATATTCGACCCTCCCATTGCTATTGTCGTTGACTCAATGAGAGAAAAAAACCGAGACGAATGGACGGCGTTGCAAACACTTTTGTGGCACAAGTACCTTCACGAGGCATCAAATTTGCAGGCTTTGACACCCGAAAAGGTTCATTTTTCGTGGGTGACATGCAGGGATCTGGCAGGAAGTAAACTTGTGCATGCGGAATGCCCGCAACAGAACAATCACACGGACTGTGGTGTTTATGTGTGTTGTATCGCTACCACTGTAATACAATTTCTTGGAAGAACCGCGGCAAAGGATCTGACAGCCAAGGACGTACTTGAAGTTATCAAAACTACAACGGTGAACGAAAGAACTGTTCGACAATTTCGCGAGTCGATGGTGGACCGGCTTGCTGCCTGTGCTGCAATCACAAAGGCAACGGCACTTTAGCGGCTTCACAAGTAGCCACAGCGTTGCAAAGCATAATAAGCAGAAGAGAGAGCAACACTTCCATGGAATGAGATGTTGTCCAGGTCACCGAACGCGATGCGAGAAAAGTTGACTACTGCGGGCCAAAATGACATGAAATGTGGGATGTGCGGACATGATTGGCCCGCAGTAGCCAACCTTATCGCAATGATGGACGAGGCAACTATTCCGATGGTTTTTTTTCTAGAATTTTTTTTTKTTYCCAGATTATGCGATCTCCTGCCACCTGACAATACAAATGCAGTCACTCTGACGCACAAAGAGGTTGCTCACTTGCGTGACTTCGCAATTTCAAATCTCTCTCTCTCTCTCTCTCTCTCTCTCTCTGCGTGACAAACAACATCACTGACGCACTTGTGGTTCTTATTCCACTTTGATGCATGTGGGAAAAAAGGGGTGATGGCTCCAAGGCCAAAATACGAGGATCTGTGCAGGTCTTTGAAAGCCGTGGGAAAGAAGGACAAGTGCCGGAAGAAATCGAGGGCCGAAAAGAAGCAGTCGAAAGAGCATCGCAGAAGCGGCGCCGGCCCCTTTGCGAAAAAGGAGCACAAGCGCAGCCGCAAATCCGGATCGAAAGTTACAGTCCTTTCGAGTGCACGGGACATTTCAACGCTGAAAGAACGTAACGAGTCGCCCCCCTCGACCCCCGTCCGGGGAAAGCGCGGAAGCGGCGCCGAGAACCGTCCGCCAAGGGCCTAGGAAAAAAGATCGCGGGATGATAGAAGCGCGACTACGCACCGCAAAACAAAGAAGAGAATATCCTACAAAGACGACAGAACAGTGGAGACAATCGATATTAGAGGGTCTGACGACAGGCACAGCGGACCCCAAGTGGAAGAAGAGGAGGAACACGACCGTTCCGCGCCAGAGAAGTCAGATGGTGCGGAGGACGAGGAGCCAGGAAACGAGGGAGACGACAGCGATTCTTCCTGCAGACAATCGCAAGACACCAATGAGGACGACGACAGCAACGGCAAGTCGGCCAGCGAGAGAACCGGCGAAGACCAGAGCGCCGCTTCGGAAAGAGGTGGTTCACCATTTCCTTCAAGGACGCTGCGCAGAGAAGGAGAACGACAGGCACGCAATGGCAGCGACACCGAGGAGCGTGTCGGTGACAGACAAATCGTACAGCACGTCAGCGCCGCCGGAAAAGGTAAAAAACCCCACGTCGCACTGACTCCCCTCCCACTCCGATCACATAATCTCGTGCCCCCATGCGGTGCACGCCTTTACGCACGGAGAAGTGTCTTTGTAAACGCACATCTGATAGCCGAATCTTCAATGTTGCAAGTGCTGTATTCAAAACAAGGCGCAGAGTTGTTAACACTCTCCTGTGCGTTGTGTCTTCTGTTTCCCACCAATCGCAACGTCATGAACGAAAGTGCGCGCAAGCGGCGGAGCCGTGCAAGGACGGAAGGACGAGGGCGCCGCATTCGCGAAGAAAATGAAGGGCAAGCTGTTGCGTTCCGTCGCCAAAGCCTTTGCGTTCTCTGCAGCAAACGACGCAACTCTGTACCCGACAGAGGACGCGTTTTTCGCGGCGGTGCAAGCGACGGCGAAACTGGCAGGGGAGACAACAGAGGAAGGGTTGCGGTCTCACATAGCAGAGTGCGGGATTCGAGCTGTCATAGGGGAATGCAACAGAATGATGACGACGATCCGCGGAGAGATTACATGGCAGCTGAAACATTGGTTTTGGGCTGAAAAAAGGATTCCACTCTTCGGATCGCAGCAAACGGACCACCACCTCCCCGCTCGCAACAAGATGCGCACCGAGATGAAGGAGAACAAGACGTGGAGACGGAGCGGCGACGATCCGTGGGGCGCCCCCGCCTTCAAGACGGCACTCTTAAAAGTTTTTCAGATGAGGAAGGAAGGCCGGAACCTGGGCGTCACCCTGCAGCAACTGGCTTTTGCGGAGATGGTCATTCAATGTGAGATAGAACAGACAACGAAGACGACACGAGCTGCAGAGCAGATAGAAAAATTGGTATCTATAAAGCAGGCAATTGTCTCATCTCTCCGTAGCCGAGACACTGTAATTAGTTTTTCCGTCTTCAAACTGGACTGTTCCGTATCCGTGACTGAGAAGGCAGCAGCGCTCTTTCGCTCTGGCACGCCGTCTGTCCACAGGCCTGGGCCTCCAAGCACCACAATAACGGATGACGATTACGACATCGAGTTCATTCTCCCTTAGAGTACAGCAGCCGGAGACGGGGACAGGCGCACCGACAGTCCGTGCGCCGCACCCTGAACAACGAGGGACAGTTTGGCGACATTTCAACACGGAAGGGAGGATGCGGGGCAATGACCAAACGGTGGAACTAAAGGTTCTTTTTTTAGACGTTTCGAACCAGGAGATGCAAAATCGAAGGCCACAGTCGGTGCAGGAGAGAGAGAGAGAGAAAGATATGAAGACCTTCAGTTTTGCAGAAGAGAGAGAGAGAGCGAGTGCTTGCACGCACGTGCACCGCCTGAGGATTGCGAGCCGTATGCTCCATACAGTCTGATAACTACACAACTTCTGTTATTTTTGATACACAATTGTACAAACATTTGTAATGCTCATCTTTGTGCGATTGAGTGGTGTGTGCGGCTGACTCTGTAATGGTAACATGACACAACAATGTGTTTTGTCAAGCTGTGGTGAAACTTGTTTGTTGCAGGGCAGGGTGACGTGGACTGAAGCTCCCCACGCCAAATCGCCTTATATAGAATGGGACACAGCAATCTTAGGGGCACAGAAAAGGAAGGTTGGCTACTGCGTGCCAAAATGTGACGGACCCTGTCGTGTTGGACAATTTGCGGCCCGCAGTAGTCAACCTTGTTTGTACGAGGGCAGCCCAACATTTAATCGACGGTCTCCCACGTCTGCTCCGTACACGTGAGAGAATAAGTCCAAAAATTTTGTCAACCTGTGGTGAAAAGTGTTTGTTGCAGGGCAGGGTGACGTGGACTTCGTCTCCCCACGCACAGCAATCTTAGGGGCACAGAAAAGGAAGGTTGGCTACTGCGTGCCAAATTGTGTCGGACACTGTCGTGTTGGACAATTTTCGGTCCGCAATAGTCAACCTTGTTTGTACGAGGGCAGCCCATCATTTAATCGAAATGTGTTCGTCGGACACCGAAAGTCAACCTTGTTTGTACGAGGCCCGAAATGTGTTGTCGACAACCTACAGCATCTCTTTCTCTCTCTTGGACTCTCTCTCTCTCTCTCTCTGATCATCAGTCTCTGATCCCTCAATTCCATCAGTCACTGCAATCATCACATGCCCGGTCGGCGTGTGCAAACCCAACGCTCACCCATGTGATCTTCGTACTCCAAAACGTGCTCAGTCCTTAAACGAGGAAAACACAACTACAACCCACCCCCGGACAACGCAAATGACCCGTAACCGAAACTGCTATTGCGCACGGTCCAATACCCTGCTTCAACACGGTCCAAAACATTTCGACACATTCCAACATACTTTCAACACGTTTCAACGCATTTCAACAAGGTTTCAACAACATTTCAACAACTCTTCAACAAGATTTCAACAAGCTACCAACAATAGATCAACAGTTGGACCAACTGTCTGTCAACAGTTGATCCAACAGTTGAACACACAAGTTTCAGTGTCCCAATATACGATCAGTGTTGGTTTCCTTCAGTTTGTGTTGAACACATGCCCCCCCCCCCGTCCAACGGTTTATAAACAGTTGAAATGTGGTGTCAACATAGGTTCAACGTGGCAAAAAAATTGCCACATTTTTTCTGTGCGTGCGGAATCTCAGAGGCCTACTGCCCCAAATAGATTTTGCATTTTAAAACTTATTAGTCATAAAAATATGAGATGATGATTTGCTCACAAGTAACCAGGTTTCCAGGAAATCCAACAAAAAAGTCCTTGGGTTGGTTCGTTCCAACTGTAGACCTACGAGATAACATCCAAGGGTCTGGTTCAAACTATCCTCAACCTTTGCACGCACTTCAATATACTTTGTCTAAAAAAGGAGACCACCATCATGTCATCAAGGTATCTCTTACTCGAAATAAACTCATCCTCATTGCCAGGGGAGTTTATGAAAGTAAATTTCGCAAACATACACATAACACAAGCAAGGGTGAAACTCGCCCTTCCGCCCATTGGGATGCCTTGCTTTGATCTCAAGACACTCCCACACAACAGAAAAATGTATTTTCGAGCTAGAAATTCGCCAGCTCAATGAGCCTACTTAGTTTAAAGGACTTTCGTATGGCCTTTATATAAGACTTGCCAAAAATTGCCATTTTTTTTTTTACGTTCAGTTTAATCAATTTGATTAATCGATCATGAAACAACCTAATGATCCAAGCGACGATCATCCTAATCTCACGATGTCCCACTTAAGTGAACATCTCTTTAATATCATATGTACGAATCAGCAAGTTCACACCACGACCATTGATGCAATCAACGTCCTTCTTTAGATCCTTAATTGCTCGCAGATTGGTGTAATCGCATGTATGTGTGGAAGATGGTCGATTGAGTAGCGATGATTACTTGTGTTTGTGAGAGTGTTGATGAACAAGCTACATCAATATTTGTAAGAATGATTATCTGATGTCATACAACCCCTTTGTCTGAGTGATTGAACCATTGTATTTCACGTGGTCATTATGGTTGAGAGTCAACGCGCGCACAATTATGTAGGAGACCCACAATAAGTTGCATGCTTACCCGCACGAGACATCGCACGGCAGCGCATACATAATGACGTAAGTTTCTTGATTAGAAATGTTTTATGAAGTAGGGATGTCTTGGACTAGAAAACAAAAATGCCGCTAATTATAGCACAACTTCTTACCGGCAATGTAATCCTCACTGCTCTTTTGCGCAAGGTGGATAGTAATATGTAATATACGACGTAACGAGATAATAATTCGTCATATGCATGAGAGCGATTGAATACTATGACTTCCTTCAAGCGCTCAAACCACTCATATTTGTTTTCGTAGGTTTGAAATCCCCACGAATATTGCTTGTTTGTTGAATTTTCATAGTTGGACGTTTAAGTCTGTGACAGTTATAAAATTAAAACCGCTTGATTTATTCCAAGGCCTCTGAAGGTGTGACTTCCCTCTCCGATTGGAGGGCGTTCAACCGACATTGATTGTCTCAGTCGACCTACCACTCTCTAATGCAGGGTGCAGAAGAGGGTAAGACGGACAACCGGATTTGCGTCTAGCGCCAAAGGAAAAACCCCTCAAGGTGTGTGTCAGCCGACACTTTAGTCGCGGGGTCAAATGAAAATCTCGAAAGCGTTGAGAATCACGAAGTCATGGGTATCACAAAAACATCATTCAAGTTATTGTGAATGCTGACGTATTCGTGCATGGCTAGTCGATATGACGAGACGCGAACCATCGTGTTATTTATACAGGTATTGTGTGCGACGTTTACATGTTAATGCACGCGAATAGTTATGAGTTGAGCGGAAAAAAAAAGACCAGGCGCGATTTGCACATGGAATAAAAGTTTTATTTGATAAATGTATCATGTGGTTAGAATGATCATCCTAGTCGATCAACGTAGCATCGATTCACACACGGATCTCATTTGGGCGTTAACCGCTTATACCCCCATGCTATAACAAACGAGAAATGTCATCAGTTGACCCACCTCTGCAATTGCATACAAAACCTTTGTGTGTGATTTTATAGCTAAACGGGGATACGCCCACCTAAGGGATGGTAACCGTGACAGCTTTCACAGGTGGAGGTAAGTTGTACCTCGTATGACAATATCCTATCGTAGGGTTTCACGAGAGGTATAGCTGGTGCAATTGGCCAAAGCGACACCTGCTCCAAGACACTTTGCGTCCCAACTGTCAAAATCTTACGTAACGAGGTAGGAGGGTCTCTGTGCGGGACCGATGCACTCGATAGGGTGTCAGCCTTCGACACTGGCTTCACTATATGATGAAATATTATTTTGATTTGGGGCTATGTTGTCAATTTTTTTGTGTGACGATCGTATTAATTTTTGAGGGGAGATGTTGCCCACTTGCAGTAATATTTCAAACGGATAAATATTGCTCATTTGACGGCACGACTGTGACATTATTTTTGGAATGGTGGTGCAATTACTTTAGTTGCATGAAGGACATTTGTTACTCTAGCTTCTTTGGTGAACTTGCGTCGGACTGGTGTAGGAGAGGTTTCTCTACTTAAAACCTGGTTTTGTTACTTTGAACCATGTACTACTGGGTTTGTGATCCACATAGAACGATGGCATCATATTACTTTCTATCAAGTTGTCAACATTGTATGTGCGGCGGACTGCAGGGGTCTTTTATTTTTATCGATTGAAGGTTTTGCACCAGGCTTTTGTACCGGAAACTCGACTTTACTAGTACGCAACAGATTCTAATTGCGCGGCACCCGATGAATATGCCATTTTTTTTTTTATGTGGCGCATGTACGTCGAGCGATGTCCCACTGTTGTATGAGAGAGACCAACCTTAGTACGGACCATGTACCATTGTCGTTTCTATTACGACATGTGCGAGACAATTCTATTTTTAGTAGTCATGTGCGCAGTGCAATAATTTGGACCAAGTTTGGAGTGTACGGCGAACTCTTGACATTCTTCTAGGGTGTCGTGGGTGTACCAGGCGACAGAGTGTCCCACAATGATGTGGAGGTGACACAGGCATCGACACACACTTAGGATATAGTCCCAGATGTCATTTTCACCACAACACACAATATAAGTTTCCTTTTTCTGTTGTGCGGCACACCTCTTTTGACCCTTGGGCCCCACGGGACTGATAACACTTCTCCGTTGGACTGCTAAGACCTCTCAGCACTGTGCTAGATTGAAAAAAATATATTTTTTGAGTCGCAAAAATTATTTGGAGTGACACGTGATCGACCATTTTTGTCGTCTAAGACCACGACCACTGATTGGAGGTTGGCTTGGTGTTTTTGGACTTATCATTGGTTATCCTTCAGGACCAGTTGAAGCAATTATAGACGATACATAAGCCAAATAATTTTATTTGGAATAGTCTTGAGACCACTTCACATAGTGTAGTTGAGACTGCTTTAGGATAATTATGGACATTGTGACATTAGGACAACCGTGGGAGTACCTCAGTTCCACTTTCTATGCTTTGATCCTGATACTATTCTAGTTATTCTAAAGTATATGAAACTCACACATATGGTTAGTAGGTGGTATCATTTTCAG